TGGTTTATTAACATTACATCAGTTAATGAAATACGGCATTTTATGGTGAATTTAAGTTAAGTCTGTAAAACCTAAAATGTTGCTACCATATTTTTTACGGTGAAGTTCTGGCAACCACAGGTGCCGGTATTTTACCATAAATGTCACAGATTTTTTTTTACAGTGTAGTTTACACAGAGACGGTAATGGTATTGTTTTTAAAAACTTGCACTCTAAAAACAGTTTCCAAAAGTTTGCTTTTTCAGGTCCCCAAAATGGCATTGTTGTGTTAAAAATGAATGGCTAAAATTCATAAAGCTTTCAGTTTTTATTTGAAAACAGTGTCTTGTAAAAAGCCCCATATACTACAAAATGGAATAGAATAGTCAAACAACAAGTTTTCAGGTACTGAAATGAGTCTGTACTACTACTACTTACCTACTACTGTAGGTGTTGTTACTGGTATCGTTGCTGTTACTGGAACACACTGATATTGTTATATCACAAATGAACCTATACTTTTCACTATTTTAACCAGCAAGGTGCCTTTGTGCAACCATCTTTGTCAAGAAAAAAAAAAGACTATGAACAGAATGTTTTTTATAGCTCTACAAGCTATACACCAGCATTAACCAGCTTATTGAATTATTTTATAGTCGTTGAAACAATTTACTGTGATGATTTAATATGTTCCATGTCTGTACCTGTATGCATAGATACAGCTGTGTTGAATGTTGTTACTCTGGTGTTCAGCTGGTGAAAATAATTTGTGATTGACATACTTCATGGACTTTTGTGTTTGTTTTCATTTTCATCCCTCATGTTCCTTGACCTAGTTTCTGTCTCCCTTAATTGTGTCATTATGTGCAGGTGTGTCTTGACATTATCCTCATTTACTCTCCCATAAAAGTTGTAGTCAGTTCAGTGTTTCTTTGTCCGGTCTCGTCAACGTGTACGTGTGCATTAAGCCTTCCTGTTGTGGATTACCTTGTGTGAATATATTAAAGACTTTTACTTTCATCTTCATCTTCATGCGAGTTCATTCAACACCGAACCGTGATATTGTCAGGAGAAATATTACAGTTTGATTTCTACACAAATATGTGGAACATTAGTCAAACATGTTTGTAAACAAAACATTTGTGATATTTAAGTGTTGATCCGTTTATTTTGCTGCAAAGATTTTTTTTTTTCATTTATGCCATTTCATGTGAGGAGGAAGATGACAACTGGGTGGGTGTTACGTATAGACACATTATTTTATTATTGTTATGCTGAGTTTATTTTGTCATATGTTAGTATTATTAATGGTAACACTTTATTTTAAGGATCATACATTAGACAGTAATTAATGACTAATAACTGCATTTGCAAGTGACTAGTTATGGACTTTTTTACAATTACAAGCTATTTATAAGGTCTTTAGTGGTTGTTGTCTTATTTTTGTCTTGTAGTCCCTTTATTCTGTCCTAACAATGTACTGTACTAATTAGCTAAAAATAAAACAAACTAATAGGTTGGATTGTGCAAATTACACACTTTATACGTTCTCAGTACACTGTGTGAATGTGTAGCTTATAAGTATGAAATAAATATAGAATAGGCATTTCAACACAGACATTTAAATTCACTTAAAAACACTGTGATGTTACATAAAAGCACAGTCTTTCTAGCAGTTGTTCTATACTAACAAATTATTTATAACTTAAATATTCCCTGAATTTATTAATAGCTAACACGCATATTCTCACTAATAAATGCAATATTACTTCAGAGTATGTTCCCTAAAGTAAATATGTGCTGTTTTTCAATAGGAAAAAAAAGACATGAAAACATGTCTTTGTTGTTTTATGGTTCAACAAGAGAACAAACTACAAATGAGACACATCTTGAATAATAGCAGTTATTGCCAAACAGTTCATTGACATTTGCTTTTAATACAAATGATGATGGTCACAGAATAAACCAAACATCTGCATTTTTCACACTGGATATTTCCTTCTAATGTCATGCAAAAGCATACTCAGGGGGCCATTTTTATGTTTCTCACCACTCCATTAAGTCCACTCAATTACTTTTAAGAGGTCTTTGAGCATGCTTTCTGTACGGTTCCCCCTAAATCTCCACACTGTTGCCTTGCAGACTCCCCAGAATCTCTCAATGTTTTGTGTGTGAGCAAATACCTCTTTATGGTTCACAGTTAGATGGTTATATCCAGCATCTCTGAGACAGTTATAGGCTCTCCACAAATCTGACACAACAGTGCTTCCCTGTCTAACATGCTTCTGGAGAACTGGCATGAGGTGTTGAGCTGAACGCTGATTGACAACTCTCAGAATGGGTCTTCAGCACTCCTCTTTGACCCCAAGCATCCCAAACACCCCTGATGCCCTGTTGCTCTGTCTTCCTCGGTTGTACTAAAAATGACAGAATTTAAGAATTTAGTTTAGCATTCATCTTTACTATAAAGTGTGACCAGACGCAATTGAAAATATATGACCTTTCTGTTGTGGCCAAATTTGCTCTCATCAATGAAAACAATTTTGTGTCTTTTTCCAATTTCCAGGTCACCTCTTCTCTTAATTCTTTTAATTGCAGATTTGCAGACTCCACACAGACGATAAGCAAGTCTAGTCAGTGTGGAAGAGCTTCCAGTGATGCCTTCCTGTAGCGTGTCCACTTACCGCGCAACTTGAGTCCTTGTGAAAATCTACAGTTTAAAAGCAAACACATAGGTTACACAGAAAAATCAGGATCATAACACTCAGTTCACTATCAATGTTATGTTATTAACATTGCTAACAAGTATAAGTTCTGATATTATCTGCTTGAATAATATGCTACAAAATAGTTTCCTCAACACAAATACAATAATTCTTACATAATCACAAATAGTTATTATAACATTATTAAAACAACCCTCACATTTAACAAACACAGGATGATATATTCTTACTTGTAAATAAACTGCGTCCATGTCTGGAGGCTGAGATGAGACTTGGAAAATGTTGAGCCACTTTCGGATGCTCTTGCTGTATGACTTACTGTGGCATTTATCTTGACACACCCTAGCAGTGGATAAAAGTATTAAAATAAGCATACTATTTAAAAATTGTATACTTTCAAAGCAAATGCATAGTTTAAAGATATATTATATTAATAAAAGCACTCCTGTTTTTAATAATAATTATTTCATAATTATATAAATATTTTTATGTAATTAAAAATATAATTATTTTTAATAATAAAATACTAATTATTATTCTTTTAAATGTCAGTATTATTATTTTAAATGTGTTTTGTTCAGGTCAAATGGAAAAAAACTTTAGTACTTTTTATGTCACTAAACCCATTTTTACAGAATAAAATAAAAATAATTTTAAAAAGTTAAATACAAAGATTACAATTAGTTTATCAATACAATTGTATTACTTTTCCAGTTGTCAGTGTTTAATAGGGAAAGAAATGTTATAAAATATTTTAGATAAAAACATCTCATGAAATTTGTCACAATAGAAATGTATTTACTTTTTTAAGTTGTAAATATTCTAACATCTGCATAACAACTAATAATGCAACAAATAGAGTTGAATTCTCAACATTAAACTGAACAAATAAATTGCTATAAATTACGATTATCGATATAATAAATTACGAATGTGTCACACGTTTTAAACTCAACAAAATGGCCATGCTCACAGATGAAACAGAGAGCAAAACAGCGTTGGATGAAGTGGATTAGAGCCCTGCACGGGCTTCAAATATAGGCCCTAACCCGTCTTTTTTCCCCTTTTCCTAAAAAAAGCTTAGCCTATACTACTGTTTCAGCTATTAAAAATAATTCAGTTTTGTATGTAATGGAAAAGTGATTATATTTCGTTTTGTTTTTTCTATAAAGTTAATTTAGAAAAACGTTTGGAGCATTTTTTGTTCGTTAAATCATAGCCTATGTTTGATCAATTTAGCCTTCTCAAATCATCAAGACTTGCCTAAAATAAAATCTATATATAAAACAGTTCAAGCATATCACAATGTTAGTGTAAATGTTTAAACCTATATAAATGTACACTGTTAGACGCATTTCCAATAGTTTGTGCGGAGCGTGGAAGCTGAAGCGCTCTGCAGGACATGGAG